AAAAAAAAAAAAAAAAAAAAAAAAAAAAAAAACCCAAACCAAACAAAAAACAAACTGAAGTCTACTTCAATATTCAATATACTCCACTTGAAATTCTCAGTGCTTTTGAGTATGAAATTGGGAGAAATGGGCAATGAAATGAACCTCCTAACAAGAAGCAGTGATTCTTCAATCCAGTAATACTGAGGCAATACAAAGGAAGTGCACTGAGGTTTACCCCATCCAGGTCTGAGCTCTGGTAAAATGCTCTGCAGATTTCAACTCAACAGGCCCGTGTCCAGGTTATCCACTCTTATGGGGGTTTCTTGGTGGAGTAGTAATGAATTTCTACAGTTCACTTGTCTGCATAGAGGTCGTGCTGTGCCTGGCAGTAATCTCCACTGCCCTTCAGAAACTCCATAAATGTGTGACCGAGAACACCACAGAACTGCTGTTTAGAAGAAAAAGAAAGAAAAAAAGGGAAAAAGTTATTTTCCAATTCAAAAGTAACAGTCGTGCTTTTCCAGTAAGTACATACAAACATGCTCAAAGTAGACACACGAAGACATCAATTTTTACTTGTATTACAAAATTCAAGGTGAATTTTTAATCAATTAAAAATTTTTAATTTTTTATCAATTTTTAATTGCATTTTTAATCAATAGGCCTAAAGGAATCAGTCATGAGACCAGTAAAGGGAAGCTACCAATACATTATTTTCTATATACTGCCTTATCTTGCTGTTTACACACTAATATTAACTTCATAGTGTGAAGCTTTGAAGCTCAAGTCTTTCCATAATTTAATGAACTCATACAGAGACATGTTTCAGCTGCTCAGTAGTTCTTTGCTTTTATATTTAATGTTTATTCAGCTACTGTAATAAAAATAAGGAGATATGTATTATATGGTCTTTCTACAAATTTAGCACTTTTAATGTAATTAATCTTTTTTTAAATCTTAGTCTCTGAAGCTATGCCCACATTTCCCTTTTGCGTTTACTATCATTTCTTTGCCATTTACAAATAATTTGTGTACATTTACTGCATTACAGTTATAGCAAGTTCTAGCATCATCAAGCACTTCTCACAGTGTGGAGAAGGCCATGGAACCAACGCGGTCACTACACTCTGGTGGCGTCTGGTGTGGAGGAGAGTGGGATTCTATCCAGATGGGATTTACAAGATGACAAGACTCATGTCTAGGAAGGCTGACAGGATGCCAGGTCACTTGTCTCTATAAACCACACTGCACTGAATGATCACCCTCTGAGAGATACCGTAACAAATTTCCTGGTTAAAACTCACTAACTCCTAGCTGGGCATGGTGGTGCATGCCTGTAATCCCAGGGCTCCAGGGGCAGAGTCAGGAGGATCTCTACGAGACCTACAAACGGCACCCAGTACAGCCAGGGCTGTTAGAGAGAAAAACCTTGTCTCTAAAAACATATTCCTAAGAGCTTGTACACTTTCATGTCATCTCTACGGATCAAACTGGTTCTTCAAACTGGTTCTTGAAGATACAAGTTATTTAGGTTTTCAATCACATTCTCTTAAGACAAACTATGTTTAAATAAAAGATAAACAAGTTTATCTTTCTGCTATTTTTAAACTCCAATTTCACTTCTCTGCTTTAAAAGTAAAACCCAATTCAAAAATGAAAGGAATTAGAAGAATTTATATTAAAGACTTTTACAATGGTCTCAAGCACAAGGCAACTATGATGACTAATACATAAAAACACATTTCATTTTCCTTAAGTTCCTCTTTAAAAATTAATTAAACTAAGTTTTCGTGTCAGAACCAAATAGTAAATTAATTTTCACAGGACCAGAGTATGTGCATAAGAAGGCCTTTCAAACAAACCAGCTAGAAGTTGATGGGCATTACAAAACACTTTAGTATCTATCTATTCTACCCAGTTTGTGCAGGAACAAAAGAACACACTCAATAACAAGAACACTCAATGACAACCACTACTCTTCAGACCAACTGCCAAAGTAAAATCTTGAAACGAAATCAGTAAAAAATTCCAGTCTATTTCTTCTGGCAAAACAAAGGAACTAGTGCTAAGGCTTCATTTACTAAAATGTACCGCAAACAAGACAACTAACTTGTTTCCAAGTTTCCTGAAAGTGTCCTCAAAAGATACATCTGACCTGTGGGTTAGAAAACCCAGTATACAAAAAAAAAAAAAGAAAAGAAAAACCAGTATCTAAGTCTATCTAAGTTATATCTAAATAATATCTACGTAAAGATATTAATTGCTACTCCAAAAAATTTTTTTTCTCCTGAGCTGGTTTGAAACGAGTGGAGCCACCCCGTGGCTGGAGGACACATCAAGCAGTGGAGACCACTGACATCCTTCTAATATGCCCCTATTCCCTCACAGGCAAGAACTAAACACGACAGTGCAGACACACCAAGAGATCTCATTTTAATTGCACACACCAGCAGGACATAAACTAGGCGAAATAATCATCCTGCCGCGCGTGGCCATTGGCTTCAGTCAGTTTGTGGGACTGTAGACTCAAACCCGTCCCCAGAACCATATGCTTTATCCAATTCCGATCCAAACACGCTCAGGTTTCAGGTAACGCACCCAAGCTACCGCATGGGAAGCGCTGTTTCTCTCCGGAAAAGATCAGCCTTTTTATTTTTTTTTTTTTTTTCTGATTTTCAACCGATTAAACCAGCACTAAGCAAACAGAGCAAGCCACAAGGCACGACCCTCCCGATCCCAGACCTGCAGGTCCAGTGCAACCCCGTGTCCATGACAGCTCGGCGGCGGGGGCACGGCGCGGGGCTCGCTCGCTCGCTCAACAGGAGCCTTCGCGGCTCGGGCCGGCTCCTGTTGCTCCCGGCCCGGCAGCGTCGCCGCGGGGCCGGGCGAGCCCGGGCTTGAGCGGCGCCGCGCACCGCCGCGAGGTCCGCAATCACGGGTGGGCGGCGGCGAGCGCGGGCGGGCCGGCGGCCGCCGAGGCCATCTTGGG